CAGTTTTTGGTTCCATTGAATTAATCTGTTTTAGTGTTGCTTAAAAGTTCTAACTAAAATCTTGTTGCGGATTGTTTTAAATCTTGTGTTAAATTCTTGTTGTGAATATATATTTATGCTTGAGAATTGGTCTAAGACATTAAACGAACCCTTGAATACGTAATTAACACAGTATTGAATTTCACCAAATCAATCTGTTCTGGGTTGCTTAAAATTTCAGACTAAGGTTCTGTGATCGTTACTTCTAAACCTATGTTCCATGCATGCTATCATTGAATATCAGTGGTTTAATATGTACCTAGGACTGAGATTGAACCTAGAATAAGAATTAGAACATATTACAGAGGCTCTGGTAATCACCGGAATCGGAGAAGACAAGGCTGGAACGGACAACGGCTGCTAAGGGAAAAGAGAGCAGGCTCTCAAATCCCTTAGAGCTGGCTCCCAAAGAGTTGGAGCCGGCTCTAAGTGTCTTTGAGCCGGATCTAAGTGATTTAGAGCCAGCTCTAAGTGAAAAATAGAGCAGGCTCCAAATTTTAGAGCCTGCTCCATCTTAAAACGCACAGAATTTTATTTTTATGGGCTGTTTGGCTGAGATTGGGTTTTTTAAAACTATTTAAATGCTACTGGAGGATATAATGCATTGTTTAAGACTTATAAAAAGGTTGAAAAGCAAGCTTACATTCAGAAATTTAGGAGGGAATTAACCTAAGGTTCAAAGTAAACCTGTAGGAGAAAGGTGTGGCATAAACTTGTAATTGCTTATTGTTTTAGTAATTTAAATTTCTCTACATGACTTGGAATTATAATTCATGTTTTGCAGCTGTGTTATAAGCATACTTTTGTATAGTTATATGTATATTTAGTTGGGATTAACTGGTGTTAAAATCTGTTTTACATTGCATCAGTTATGGTACTGTTTAGAGAGGTAGATTGTGTAATCCTACTTTATCAATTTAACGGACTGTAATTGGGATTCTAAATCTTATATTGAATGCATAAGTTGGTTATATACATGTTAAACTATATTTATGCTAATTCTGGAGTATGGTTGATAAATACTTATTACAGTTTTTGTCAACTTCATTAACTGGAGGATTGTATGTACCGGTATGGGACGGTGACATACTAGGTATGGACTAGTTCAAACACTAAGTTCTACCTAACTTGGATTAAGGTATGGATTAATTATATAGGTTAAGTCCATCACCTACTTGTGTTATATCAATTGGGAATTGAATGACCTACTATGGTTTCAGGATGGATTTGTTATACATATATCAGACCACTACACAGATGGATGGTATTTTGTATTAGGAGGAGTACGGACTTTATATATATATTATATGGTGTCGTGGTATGAGCTTGAGTCTCATGACTATGGTTAGGGCGCGTATATCACCTAGGATGGATAACTGGACATAGGTGTTGTTCCCTGGTAGGTCTAGGTACTCATGCCTAACTTAGGGTGCGTATTTGCATGTTGCCTTCTATTCAGGCTGAGACAGACCTACTGGACTAGCGAGCGTCCTATAGTGTGTACTAAATACATATATGGACTACTCTAGATATTGTTGAGTCTTCCTGGGATGTATCTGCGTATCGGATTACTGTTTGGATTGTAGTAGATCAGGACTTGCATGTGGGCCTGACCCACTTCTTTATTTTTCTGGTGTTCGTCAGTTCCAGGGTTAGAGCTTGGACGTGCAGAGCAGATACAGATATTCATTCGTCCGATTATGTAGGAATCTTCTCTATGTTAGCTTTGGATTTTATTTCTATTATTTCAGTTTTGGTTTGAGAATTTTAATAAGGGGTCAAATGGATGGATTCCCGAGTTGTAAACTTATGAAGTTTTGAATTATCGGATTTGATTAATTATGATACAAGGATTTTATTTTAGTTTCTTTCAGCTTATTATATTATTTCATATTTCACTTTGTATTCCGTGTTCGATTTAAAATACTTTAATTGTTCGATATCCCTCGGGTTTGGGCCTGGGCCTGATCAACCCATGTCTCGGATCCGAGGGGTATCACAATGTAGAAGAACAACTACCACAAAACTAATAGGATAATAAGGTGTATACCATTCCTAGAACTACGATACAACTTGCACATAGACTCCACTATGATGCAATGAGATGCACATCCATGCCGGAATCACAGGAGATCCATCCTGCACATGGAACAATTAGTGTATTGACACACCCCATCGTACACGATGATAAGATTGGTGCACTTCCGCACCCCACTGGCCAAGTGTATTATGGGACTTTCCACTCACCGGACTCAATGTCCACTATTTTCAATGCTCAGATGGCGTCCATTCTTCAAACTTGTTGTGTATGCCATATACACACAACTTATGCTCAATGAACTTTATGAATCAAACTATGACCACCATGCTACTAAGGCCAAAGTGGCGCACACACAAACTACGATTTACTCAAAGTAAATATATCAAAATGTCACAACACTAAAGCATTATAATCTAATCAATAGTTGCACAATCAAGTCATTAAAGCTACAATAGCAAATACTTGAACAAGGTCACAAGGTGAATCAATTTAAAGTACTATTATATATTCAATTTATGAAATCTACTCATGCTAGCATACTATAAGCTTAAAGTCCATGATTTAAACAACAATTAAGCATCAAACACACAATTAAATCATTGACAAGGATTACATAGAATTTCAATATATTACACTACTGAAAATCTCTAGATTTTAAACTAACACAAAAATGAAATAGCTTCAACATAAGTGATAAATCATACACAAACCTTAAACAATAAGAAACCCTAGGCTAGTTACATAAAAGATTCATCTATATGCAACCCTATAATTTAAATAACATACATACAATGTATATTAGCCCCAAAGAACATATTAAAACACTAAGGGTATAAACATAAGACACCCCCTACCTCATTAGAGAAATGTACCTCTAGAATCCAAGATCAAAGCAGGCAAATGGGAATCCAAGAACTAAGTAAGGTAGACAATGAAGTGGGGAAGGTTTTGTCTTCTAAGTGCAAGACTAAATGGTGAGAGGAAGATACTTGAAATCAAGCTTTACCAAGCTAGGTTTTAAATCTCTAATGGAGGTCAAAGGTGAGAGTAAGGAAGAAGAAAGCAATCTCTAACTTTTCCACTAACTTATTAGGTTACAAAACACAAAAACAATGCTAGCACTATCTCACACACACACACTAATCTCACCCTTCCACTTGTCACAATCTAAGGCCTTCTCGCTAGGCTTAATCACAAGCCTGCATTTGTCACAATCATAAGCCAACAAATGGGTGAATCTTCAGCCTACATTTGTCACCATCCTAAGTACCCTCTCTAAGTTCAATCAACACCTTACACTTGTCAACATTACAAGCTTCCAAGTGTTTCTCCCAAAAAGGTGACAAGTGGACCAAAGGAAAAGGTGACACTTGTCACACTTTCAAAAATTACAAAATAGTCCCTCTTTTAAATATTTCAGGAAAATAATTGCAAAATGGTCCCTAAGACAAAATATCCTAAAAAGTTAATTACACAAAACACCCCGAGAAATGAAAATGTTTCCGAAGAAACTATGCATCCATACCTTTACGAAATGAAACCAAGCAAGCATGTTTTTTTATGAAATTAAATCATGCATTGACATTAAAATAAAATAATGTAAGTGCATACGGTGCCGGAAAACAATTCCGAACACTAATCCCTAAGGCAACGAATAAGGAGATAAATAAATAAACAAATAATCAATTAAATGATTAAAATAATTAAATAAAAAAAAAAATCTGCTAGAAAAAGAAAAAAAGATAACACGGTCATCACAGGTGATGGAGCTCGCTCGCTTTGCTATTGACCAGCGAGAAAACTAAAGATGAGAGGAAGAGAGAGAAAAGAGATTACAGAGAAAAAAAAGATAATTAGAAGAAGAAGAAGGGTATTTCGGGATTTTTATAAAACAATTTGATCAAAATTGATGATTAGGGGGTAATTTGTTCTAAACATATGCATTTTTATTTTTTAAGAGTATTAGTAGTCTATTGAAAAATCCTTTTGTGTAAAATATACATTGCCACATATGATTTGTAAATTTTTTTCATTTCCAGCAATTTGTTAAGATACATTGCCACATCACCAATATGTAAAAGGGTTGTGTATTTTACACAGCACTTTTATACTGCCATGTAAGCATATTTTCTCTCTCCTTCCCCTTTCCCACTCATGGCTCTCTTTCTTCTCTCATTCATTTACGCCTCTTTGTTTCCCACTTTTCTAGAGTACAATAGAGAAGAATATATAATTGGCGGCAAAGTAAAAACTGCTCGACCATCTTTTATTTATTTATATATTTTTTAAAATAAATATAGTTTGATTCATCACTTTCATTTAATCTTCATCTTCTGTAATCATACTGTAGATTCTAGAGTTTTTTTTAGATTTTTTATCCTTTTACATTATATTATAATGAGATAAATATATACTTAGTCAAAGATTACATATATATTTTACTCAGTTTATTTTTAAATTTTTTTATCCTTTTATATTATATTCTAATGGGGTTTAATCGCCAAAATAATAAATTGAATAAAGTAATTTTGTAAAAGTTATGTATGACATTAGGTATGACACGTGGTTGTTATCGGGGATACCATTTAATACAAAATTTTACATCAGATTTACACAAAATATTTTAGCATATCCATGGAGATGCTCTAATATGAGTTTTTTTAACACATCTTGCACATACAGTGAAGTTGTTATTGTTTTTTTTTTTTTTTTGTTTTTGTTTTTGTGCTCAACTCTATATTAAATAATTAAAATTCTAAAAGTTTATTTACATATAATAGAGAAGGTTTGTTTTTTTTTTTTTTTTTTTTTTTTTTTTTTTTTTTTTCATACTTTACTCTATATTAAATAATTAAAATTCTAAAAGTTTATTTATGTAGTCTTCGACTCCCTGCATATTATTAATCTAACTTATAATCAGTATTTGCCTTGGAAAAAAAAAAAAAAAAAAAAATTTGCGGCACCTCGGCACTTTTCTGTTATCTTTGCCGCCGCTGCAATAAGGGGAGAGAAATATGTTGGAGGCGAAGAGTCTGCGAAAGGCGGCGGTGCCTTCTTCTCTACTGGAGTATCCCTCTCCTGGCAACCTACAGTCTACTCGACTTGCCGTCAATGTCCCTTTTTACCCTTACACACATACACGCACGCAAATATATTTGGACCCATAAAACAAATTCCTGATTTCGAAACTTCTTTTTGATCTTTCTCAGGTTAATGGAGACGGTTCTTCGTGCTGGGTCTACATCGCTTCCGGATGCTACATTTACAAGATCCAGGTTCGCTAGTATTAATCATTTTTTTTTGTCATATGAAATTCTGAATGATGTCTCTTCTCCTCTCCTTACAAAAACCCACAATAGTGTCATAAACTGTTATGGAGCCAAGATTTTGATTTAGTCCAGATGAATTTGGACAATATATATATATTTTTGATACAAATTAAGTACAATAAATTTAAACGTTTGATTAATATTTCTTTCATTCATTCAGTACACTTATAATTATCCTTGATGAGTTTTCACTGCTCCAGGAAAGAAAATTTGGGTTTTTATGCATGCTGATTTAGTGTTGAGAAATCGATTTCCTTTTTGAAGAGAGAGAGTTACCACTAGGTTTTTGGCTCAACTAGTATCTTATTCTCTTTCCAACTGGGAAGTGGATGGTTGGCAATAATGGGTGTGGGTTTAAGTTTGGGTGTGTAAGTAGCTTACTTATGCAAAAGAAAAATGAGAAAGAAAAGAAGAAATGAGAGTCCAGTTGGGAGAGAGTCGTAGAGTCCAAAAAAAAGAAAAAAAAAAAAAAAGAGTTAGATATGCACTATGCAAAGAGGAGGAATTTTGATTTGAAGAAAGGCATTACAATAAAAAGGTTTTTAAAATAATTATAAGAAGGTGGGGGGTTTTAGAATTATGAAAAGCACAAAAAAAAAAAAAAAAATGTGAGTGGAGGCAGCGAAGGTTTTTGATATTTATAAGAAGGGGAGTTTTCAAAGTATGGAAAGATATGTTTGTGTATATTCACACACATACGTTCTATATGAAGTCATTTGAGCTCCGAAATTTGCTGTTTGGTTTTAATCAATTGAAATTGTCGAAGTGGCTGCATCTTAATTGCTTAAGATTGTTGGGCCAAAAAAATTGCTTAGTTTGTTTTGTCTGTATTGAATGACTTAACTTGTGGGGCAGATAGGACCCAATGCAGGTGTTATAACCATAGATATTAAAATAAAAATAAACAAATAATTAGCAATTAACTTTCACATTTTAAATGTGTTGAAATTAGAATGGGAAATAAATATAATTAGGCTAAAATAATACTTAATTACTATATTTAAGATGACTGAATTGGTATTAGAGCCATAGCCTAATGTACACACCTCAATCAATTGGAGGACAAAATGAGATATATGCGATCAACATGATATGGGTACCTGTCTATCAAAAAATGGAGGATATGCAAGAGAAAATGAGAGTCGATCTAAATGCTGAGCTTATTCTTTTTGTACTTGGCATGTGACCAATCTCTATTGGTGAACCATCAAATCTTGTAAATGAGAGCCCTTGCAGAGAGAAACAGGAACTGAAACGTCTGAAATAGAGAAATTAATTGGGCAGAATTCTCTTCCGAAGCAACAAATACCTTTGGTTGTTCCTCTAGAACAAGTTTGTGAGTCCAAATTTCCAATTTTTGAAGATGGCAGTAGTGTTCATCAAGTCAAAAGAAAATGTGATACAGTAAACGAAGTTTCTTGAATATGGATACTAATGCTGTCAAAGAATATGGAGGCAAAGGTAAATCTTAAGGAAGTTGTGTCTTCATTAATTTTCCATGTCTCATATTGGCATCCCATGCATTCATGCTCACTTGGACAAATATGACGTAGGACACAAGAGCAGCTTTAAATAGATAAAGACGTACAGAATTCAAAGCCTGAAAGTTCAAAGAACTACTGCTGAAATTTGGAGGTTTGATAGTAAAAATGTAGAAAAACATAGGGAAAAGAAATAGAATAGAGCTACCTATTGGAATCATTCCAACAGGGCCTGGTATAACACCTAGAGAAGGCCTCACACCCTCAGAATTTGTGAATCACTCACAAAGAAATCTCAAATATATTTTTTATTCATTCATTCATTGCCTCACCAAGTTTACATCATACCCTTCTTATAGCACTTATAGCAACTTATGACCCTGAGATTACCCCATAATTGAGGTAATCAAAAGTTGACTCTATAGCATAATAAAAGTAATTCCCCCGTAATTGACGTAATTGAGGTAATCAATATTTGACTCTAGGATTACCCCATAATTTAGGTAATCAATACTTACCTAATAGCATAATTAAAGTAAAGTTGACCAAATCTCCCAATTATTCAAAACTCCACGTGGACCCATATTATCTAGCCTATGCTAGCTCGAATCTTAGAATCCTCCTTTTGGCGCCTTTTATACACCTTTAAAGATTTCTTATATTGATCTCCATCAAAATATGAGTGCGTTGAAACTGATGGATGTGATGGTGCAGATATATCTTGAACGCTGTAATATTGCCTAATTACTTCCTCTAATGAGATAGATAAGGTTTTTTATTGGAAGTTTTGCTATATAAATTGGGTAAATTGACTTTGGATAAGTTAAAGCTAAAGTTTATAACATGAGATTTCATACAACTGTAATCTTTTTATAATACTTCCTCTAAGGAGATAAATAAGGTTTTTTATTGGAAGTTTTACCATATAAATTGGATAAATTGACTTTGAATAAGTTAAAGCTAAAATTTTTATTACATGAGATTTCATACAATTGTATCTTTAAATAAAGAAAATGACTGCCATTTAACAAAAAGGATCTTTCACTGTTGGCTTTAGAAAATGTCCCATTATGACATCCAGCCTAACATTTTGGTTTTCAAGTCTGCCCTCTCTCTCTCTGTCTCTGTCTCTCTGTCTCTCTCCATTTCGTGTATCTCTACCATTGCATCAATAGTATAAGACTTGGTATTCTGTCGCTAAGGAGTCATCAGCAGAGGATTTCGAATCTTTTTAATATTTTATACAGGCCTTTTGACAATGGTGGCTTCCTACTAGTAATTGAAACGAATTCAAATGACCTCACATATGATTCTCTCATAAGTTTATGTAGACGGGAAAATTTGGTTACAGACATAGTGTTTCTCCATGCTTAGTTGCAGACAGCTAATAGGAGAGTGGAATGGAGAGTGAAAGAGGGATACATTTTGAGCTGGGTGGGTATTTTGATGCGTAGGATGGATGGATAATTTGGATAAAATTGATGGTTATCATTTATTTTCCAATATAGACAGGGAAATTTTGGAATCCGAGATTTTAGATCAAATGGAAATGGTATAATTGGAAATTAATTAATGTTTTATTCAAAGATCCTATTTTATAAATATAAGTCATTTTCTTATATACAAAATGTGCAAAAACTCCCTTGGTGTTTAAAAAGAAACCCTACATTTTTCAAATTGAGCAAATAAGGACATTTTCTCAATTTGAAGACTATAATACCTAAAATGTCCTTAAAGCAAAAAAAAAAAAAAAAAAAGTTATATGCACAAATTTTAGTATGGGTATTTTGAGGTTTTTATTAAAAAAAAAAAATTGGTCAATATTGACGATCAAGGGCAATTTGATACAAATTTTCAAATTATAGGAATTATATGCCCATACTAAACATTTGGGGTGCTTTTGCACATTTTTTATATAACAGGAATTTTTTTTTTTTTTTTTTTTTTGCACTTTACCCTTAAAATAATTACAATTGTATTAGATAGCATCTTATAAAAGGTTTAATCTTTAACTTGCTGGAAGTCAACTTCCCCATAAGAATTTGTAGATGCCCTAAGGTATCGAGAATGGAATGGAATCTTGAGTCTTTGTGGTGGAAGATAACCTACAGAAGTGATCATTTAGGTGGATGATCACTCATAATAGCGATCAACATCTTTCTTATTACTCTTTTTTTTTTTGTTTTTTTTTTTTTGTTCCTGATCCCTTGCAAATGTAACTTGGAGCAAGTGATTCGATTCAAATTCAGTTCTCAGACTGATTTTTCAGTCTCTTGGAAGTACTTTTCTTGCTTTTTAATGAAAAATCGGAACCTTTTATTTATTTATTTTTTTTGTCTTTATGAACTCAGAAGTCCAAATTGTTAGCTAAAAATTGCCGAAGGTACTATGCCGTTATTACTGTTTTAGAAGTAGTTTTCTTTTTCAGAACAATAAATATAAAATGTTTGTATTTCAAAAGCTGAAGAAAGGGTACTTCAGAAAGTTAATTAAGCAATGATAGCCATTAATGTGCCAAGTGGATTGTGTGGATGGGTCCAATAATCTGTGTTACTTATTTGAATATTTTACTCCTCATCCAGCGGTTCCTAAATTGAACAACTCTATTGTCGAGAGGACCAAGTAAGGTTACAGTCAGATTGTCTTGACAGGCTTGTAAATGTTGGTTATAACTTATAGGGTCTCTCTGAGACTCTTGCACAAGATAGGAATAAATATATTAATTTGGGACCGGGTATTACAACTTGCATGGGTATTTAGTTATTTCTTATGTTCTTTTTATAGATATCGATGGAAGATTCTTTGGTCAATTGTGGAAAGGAAAGCCTCCTGATCCCTGAACAAACACAGGTATGGTTGTGATGAGTCATGACTTAATGTGCAGGACATTGTCCATTTGCAAATTGAACATTTTGGTTTAGTGTGATGTATGACTGTTTGAACATTAAAGGATGGAGGTTGTGTATGTGATTTTATTCATTCATAACACTTTCTTTGCATGTGTTAACTTTTCATTGTTAACCTGAATTTTGGAAGGTTATGCACTCTTCATTAGTTAACCGCTGCCCTCATAGATCAGAAATTCAGAGTGTAGTGCTTGCCGAAACTGAGAGTAAGTGACCGTATATCTTATTGAAAAATTACTTAGTTATTTCGCAAACTTTAATTTTATGGATTTCTACTTGCAAGCTCTGGTCTGCTCCGGTCATTGGATTATAACTTCTTTATGAATTGATTATGCTCATATACAGTTGCACACCCATTTCGTAGAAGAGTGCTTTTTAGAATGAACTACATCCAAATGATACATATATTTTTTTTTATTTTGATAGCAAGTTTATCTCTTAAATAAACTAATTACCTATGACTATATGTATGTGATATTTGGGAGTGTAAGACTTATTTTCCATTTGAACACCTGGAGGATAAGTGAGACTAAAGAGTAGAGGCCCAATGGGAGTTGAGCAATTTTTCTTCCTGTCTAGGTGTGTATAAGCACTCCTATGACGTAATAGTTAATACACAAAAAAGTTCTAATTTTATTTTGGTCCCCACCACCATATGCATTGAGCAAATTTTTTTCCTACCAAGGTGCGCGTTGTGAGGGGTAGAGAGAGTAGGAACACTCTTATGACTTAATACACCTCTTAAGTCTTATTGGTTCCTGGAAATCGCCGTATTGAAGTCTTAATTCTGATAAATGAAGCATGAATCCTGTTGCATGTTTAGTATTGCTTTTTCATAATGCCACGCTCTTACAGATTCTGGGGACGATTGAATCAAGACAATACATTGATCCTTCATTGATGAGTATAATGTGTAATTCCTAGGCATGTGAGTCATGTTTTTTCATTTACAAGCTTCACCTTCTAACCAATTCTAGGCCGCCTCTTGTTCGACTTTATCAAGATTCTTGTTGGGTTTGGTGGGTAACCTGGACACTGATGATGCACCATTTGTGTTGTCTCAAAATTGGATCATGTGCCAACAATGTCTAGAGATACTATGTCTTTGAATATGAATGAACCATAATTTTTCATTTTTTTTTTATCAAGTGTATATGTTTTTAATACTTTAGGCTAATGGAGAATGTGCCTAAAATGTATGGCCCCAAGTGTTGAACAGCTGAGGGTCCTTCCACAGCATATGTTACCTGTTTTACCAGTACTTTAATGCATCTATTTTGTGTAAGTTCTCTTCATTATAGCTTTTTTCTGCTTTTGATGTCATCACATTGAGGATTGTGAATACATGAAAATATAGCATAAATTATTGATTTACAAATCCTTTCACGTCACTCCATTTATCTGAGAGATTATATGTACATGGTTTGGGATTTTAATAGGTTTAGCTCAAATGTTCAAGACAAGAAAGTGTTAAACTCATTAATTAATATACAATTAACATTTATTTCAGGAGAAGATGTTATTATTTTATTTGAGTGATGTACTACTTGCTGGTAATCCTCTCCCCCCTCCCTTCTTTCTCTCTCTCTTACACCCACAAAGAATCTTCAAGCAGTAGCAGGTCTAAACATTCATATATATTTCTTATTTCATTATATGGGCCAATATTTTTATAGATTTTGTTCAAAAATCTGATGAGTAAGCCATTCACGCTTAATTGGTACCCTGATGCAACAATTGTGTGCAGGCGCTGGCTGCTTGCTTTTGGGAAGTGTGGATTCTTATGGTCACCTCATTGTGTCTAAACTGGATCCTAGTGGTGAAGGTACCTTCACTTCTTTAGATCCTTAATTTCACTTGTAATAGAAATCTGGAGGTATGTCATAGAGCAGGGACATGTCTTACAGATGGTCACTCTTTTTGCCTTTGTGGTATGGAAATGCTGTTGGCCATAAAAGGGCTAGTCCAGTGCACAAGGCTCCCGCTATTGTGGATCTGAGGATGGTTTAATGTACGCAGCCTTACCTCCGCATGCAGAGAGGCTATTTCCTGTTTCGAACCTGTGACCTCCAGGTCACAATGGAGCAACCTTACCGTTGCGCCAAGGCTCACATCTATGTCTCATAGCATGCACCCAAATTTCTTTGATGCTAGTTTGGCTTTATGACATTTGTTATCAACCATTTTCTCCAAAAGCTTAAGCTGTTAGAGAGGGTGTAACTTTAATATTTAAATCCTTCAACATTGCCATCACGTGTGGCCTTCTTTTTGGTCCAACACGTGGTTTCAATTTTAATTTTTAGGGTGATGGTGAGGTTTGAACTTGAGATCTTTGGCTCAGATACCATGTTAAAAACCATCTACTCTAAAAGCTTAACATAGTATTGTTCGGCTCTAAATGTTTTTCCGTCCTAGACTCTGCTAGGCCGACCACGATTCTTCGGCTCTTAGCACTGCAAAGGTCCGTCTCTCTGACCAACATAGGGCGCCGTGTTCGGCCTCTTGGTGCTGCAGAAGGAGCTAGTCCAAAAGGGCGGAGCCATTGGCCTAAACCTTGATGTTGTGTGTGTGTGTGTGAAGTGCGACATGGCAGGATCCAAGAGGATACGAGTGCGTCGATAGTGAGTGGGAATAACCTCTTTTTGTAAGGTTCTTTTATGCTTTGGTGACCTAAAGACTTTAAGACAAGTTAAACACAACTGATCAGAGAGACTATATTACCTCTGTAGGAATCAAGACTTCATTGAATGAGTTTCAAAACAACATTGATTACAAGATACAAAGAGATAACACAAACCAAAAGTCATCAATCACAAGGGTTGATGCTAATGATTAAATCGAGCCAAGAACAGGCCTTGAGGCTTTAATGACGAAGCATCAATTGGTTTGCCAGCTATCACTATGCTAGACTAAACTTAACTAAGCTAGGCTAGGTTAGGTTAACTAAGCTAAGCTAAGCTAAGAGTTACACTAGTTTAAAGTAGATCTAAGGTAGTGTTGTGTTTGGTCTAGGACCCCTTTCTCTCTTGCTTTGGTCTATATTTATAGAGATTTCAAATACTTGGGCTCTAAGAGAAAGAGATGTGGACCACGTGGCAGACTTTGGTACGTTTGCCTGCGTGCCAATCTGATGATATGTCCCATCATAAGTGTTAGCATATATGATACCACGATTTATGGTATGACTTACCATAATAACAGAGATTTGACTATGCATATGTTAGCATATATGATACCACGATTTATGGTATAACTTACTATAATAACAGAGATTTGACTATGCTATAGAATATGCCATAGAATATGCTTTAGAATAAGTTGTGATTTGATTTTGATTTGATTCAGTTTCCTTTCTTGTAATATGAGCATGTGCTCATTTTATCTATAAATACTAGAGCTGTGAATAAGTAATTCATATCATTCAAGCCATTACGCAATTCTCTCATTTCTCTTCTTTTTATATTTCTACTATAAGAAATACACCTGATGATGTAACAAGATATTGGGCCTTTGTAAAAATAACATGTCTTTCCAAGCTCAATACTAATTACCTATGTTCACCCAACTTCTCTTGTAAAATTAAACCCATTTCATCAAGTGGGTTTTGTTCAACATGGTGGCCCACTTAAAGCCCGTTTTCTTTTCATTTTAAGAACCCAAAAGGGTGCACAAAAATGGAATTAATTGTTAGCAGATATGATAGCCACGATTTATGGAATGACTTACCATATTTGTAGAGATTTGATAGCCACGAATAATGGCATAGAATTTGCTGTGATTTGATTTAGATTTATTTTCTTGTAATATGAGCATGTGCTCTTTTTATTTATAAATACTAGAGCTGTGAATGAGTGATTTATATTAGTCTAAGCCTTTACACAATTCTCTCATTTTTTCTTCCTTTATATTTCTTCTGTTGAATTCCGGATTTAGATCCCTATTTTCTAGGGAAGAGAGTTTTATTTTTGTTAAGTTAAATTTGTGAATATAGAAAGTAGGAGATTTGGTTACTTGATTTTTTTATTTTATTTTCAAATCTGTTAGTTATTAGATTTGATCTTCTTTCCTATAATTAACTGCTCGAATTAAGGAGATTTAATTATAGGTTAGTTGTATTTTTCTCCTATAAATTCTTTGTACCCTATGGTTTCTAGTATTAATGAAATTAGGGATTACTTTACCCTTTTTTTCTTCATGGTAGCAGAGCACCCTCTGAACCGATAGAATTTTTTTTTGGTCAAATACGGTATCGCCAGCGAGAAAAACAATACCATCTCAGATGGTAACTCTCAACCAGAGATGGTCCTTCCCAACAACGAAGGTGGTGTATCAGAAAGCTCTATTGTTCCCATTACAGGGCATAAACTGAACGGACAGAACTATCTTCAATGGTCTCAGTCCATTATGATGTTTATCTGTGGAAAAGGGGAAGACGATTATCTCACAGGCGATGCAAAGGCTTCACCAAAGGAAGATGCAAAGTTCAAGGTGTGGAAATCTGAAAACAATATGGTGATGTTATGGTTAATCAATTCCATGAAAAATGAGATTGGTGAGGATTTCTTATTCTACGGGACAACAAAAGAAATATGGGATGCAGCAAGAGAGACCTACTCTGACAATGAAAATACTGCAGAACTCTTTGAGATAAAGAGTCTTCTTCATGATATTCGACAAGGGGAAATGTTGACAACTCAATACTTCAACACTCTCACTCGTTATTGGCAACAATTGGATATGTTTGAAGCACTAGAATGGGACTGCCCTGGAGATAACATCAAATACAAGAAGATTGTTGAGAAAGAAAGAATTTTCAAGTTTTTGTTAGGTCTTAATAAAAAGTTAGATGAAGTGAGAGGAAGAATTCTCGGACTGAACCCTCTCCCATCCATCCGTGAAGCCTTCTCTGAGGTTTGAAGAGAAGAGAGCCGTAAGAAAGTGATGATGGGAAATCAAAACATCGTTGCCCCAACTGAGAGTTCAGCGATTGTTTCTCGTGGAGTGAACTCTACTGGTAATGACAACCAGAATAACAAGAACAGACCACGGTGTGACCACTGTCATAAAACAGGACACACCAGAGATACCTGCTGGAAGATACATGGCAAGCCCGCTGATTGGAAACCGAAGAACAAATGGCAGCCACCTCCTGAACGTGAAGGCCGTGGCTTTACAACCACTACCGACGAGCAATCACCTGCAGAAACTACTCTTTTCAGCAAAGAGCAAATGGACCTTCTTCAAAAGATATTCAGCCAATCTCAATCAAATTCTAACATTGGAACTGGGTCTATAGCACAGAAAGGTAATTTTTTGAGTGCTTTAAATGTCAAAAATGAGAAACCATGTTCCTGGATAATGGACTCAGGTGATTCAGACCATATGACTGGAGATGCCTCTTTATTTCTCACTTACAGCCCTTGTTCTGAGTACCATAAGGTTCGTATTGCTGATGGGTCCTTATCCACAGTGGCTGGTACAGGTTCTATTGTTATTTCAAAGAATCTGATGTTAAAATCCGTTTTGTTGGTCCCAAATTTGACTTGCAACTTGCTGTCCATTAGTAAAATTACCAGGGATCTTAACTGTATTACTAAATTTTTCCCTACGCACTGTGAATTTCAGGACTTGGATTCGGGGGAGGACGATTGGCAATGCTAAGGAGAGTGCGGGACTCTACCTTCTTAGCATTGATGACTCTTTTGAAGAACAAACTCAAAGTGCAAATTGGGTATCCTCTCTTTCACGTGTTAGCTCTTGTGATGATAGTGCAATTCGGTTATGGCACTATCGATTAGGACATCCTAGTTTCTCTTATCTTGAAAAACTATTTCCTTCATTATTCATTAATAAAAATTCAAAGTATTTTCAGTGTGAGATTTGTCAATTATCTAAACATGTTCGAAATGTTTATCCAACTCAACCTTATAAAGCATCTCATCCATTTTCAACCATTCACAATGATATTTGGGGGCCTTCTGTGGTCAATAATGTTTCAAGGGCTAGATGGTTTGTATTCTTTGTTGACGACCACACTCGAACTACTTGGATATTTCTTATGAAAGAAAAATCAGAAGTTGGTCTAATCTTCAAAAACTTCAACACCATGATCCAAACACAATTTCAAGCCAAAATCCAAGTCTTTCAAATAGACAATGGTAGAGAATATTTTCATTCTATTCTCGGGGATTACCTAATAAGTATTGGCATTATTCACCAAAGTTCTTGTGTGGACAACCCACAACAAAATGGAGTCGCTAAAAGAAAAATAGACACCTTCTAGAAGTTGCCAGGTTTCTCATGTTCACAACTCGTGTTCCAAAACATCTTTGGGGAGAAGCAGTTCTTACTGCTGCCTATCTCATCAATAGGATGCCATCTAGAGTTCTAAAATTCCAAACCCCTTGCCAAACCCTCACCTGAATCTATCCTCAAACTAGAATCATTTCTTCCTTACCATTGAAAGTGTTTGGTTGTTCAACATTTGTTCATGGTCACCAACATCGCAGAAGCAAGCTTGATCCTAGGGCCATAAAGTGTGTATTTCTAGGTTATTCTCCCAATCAGAATGGTTATAACTGCTATTCTCCTAACACTAGGAAATTTTATCATTTTATGGATGTAACCTTTTTTGAAAATCAACCTTTCTACCCCAAAACTCATATTCAGGGGGAGAACTCAAACACACAAGAATATTAGTTTTGGTTTCACGAGGATATTTCCAGATCTAATTCACCAGTTACATTGCCCATTTCACCCATTCCTTCTTCACACAATACCCAGCCAGAGTCCACTCAAATCACAGATTCCCATAATACCCAATATGAACCCACACAAAACACTTAACTCTCAAACCGACACACAGTGTGCAAATAATAAAGAGTTACATGTTTATTCAAGGAGACAGAAAATTCAAAAGGAGATGGAGCATTATACACTTCCTGAGCAGAACCAGGATTCCAACCCGAGTTCAGACAATCCTGAGTCACTTCCAGATAATACAGTTAATGATACTTGTCCTGTTACTTCTCCTTGTACTCCTATTGCCTTGAGAAAAGGTGTTAGATCATGTACTCAACACCTAATTTCTAATTTTGTGTCTTATGAAGGATTATCCCCAAGTTACCGTTCATTTTTTACTAATCTTTCCAATATAGAAATTCCAATGAGTATCCAAGAAGCTATTAAAAAACCAGAATGGAGAGCGGCTATTGGAGATGAAATTCGTGCCCTGGAAAAGAATGGTACTTGGGAGCTCTCAGATTTACCAAAAGGGAAACAGCCTGTGGGATGCAAATGGATCTTTAATGTCAAATATAAGGCTGATGGAAGTGTAGATCGGTATGAAGTAAGGCTGGTTGCTAAAGGGTTCACTCGTACATATGGGATTGACTATCAGGAGACGTTTGCTCCTGTAGCTATACTTAGTACAGTCTGAGTAATATTGTCACTGGCTGCCAATTTAGATTGGCCCCTTCTGCAGTTGGATGTCAAAAACGCCCTCCTCAATGGCAACTTGGAAGATGAAGTCTACATGGAAATTCCTCCGGGGTTTGAAACGAAGAACAATGCCATGGAAATTCCTCCGGGGTTTGAAACGAAGAACAATGCCAACAAAGTCTGTCAACTGCGGAAGTCATTATATGGTCTCAAGCAGTCTCCTTGTGTGTGGTTTGATAGATTCACGAAGGCAATCAAAAGGCATGGATATTCTTAAGGGCAATCAGATTATACCTTGTTTACCAAACATTCACCTCAAAGGAAAACTGCCATTCTTATTGTGTATGTGGATGACATCATCCCAACTGGAGATTATGAAGAGGAGATAAGCAAATTAAAGACAATTCTTGCTAAGGAGTTCAAAATAAAGGACCTGGGAGCACTCAAATACTTCCTTGGCATGGAAGTAGCTCGAACCAGAAAGGCTGAAAGGGTATTTCTGTTTCTCAGCGTAAGTATACTCTTGACTTACTAAAGGAAACAGGAATGCCAGGATGAAAACCTGCTGATACTCCCATGGATTCAACTTGTAAAGTGGGAATGAAAGAAAGAAGCTCTCCAGTGAACAAAGGAAGGTATCAAAGACTTGTTGGGAAACTCATAAATCTTTCTCATACAAGACTTGACATTGGCTTCTCGGTTAGTGTGGTAAGTCAATTCATGAATAATCTTACTGATGAACATCTCGATGCTGTATATCGGATCCTTAGGTACCTAAAAATGACACCGGGTAAAGGCTTATACTTTTAAAAAGGAACAAACATGGCAGTTGAGATTTTCTTAGATGCTGATTGGGCAGGTTCTTTAACCAACCAATGGTCTACTTCTAGTAGGGGTGGCAATTCGTGTTCGTGGGTCGTAATCGTGTCGTGTCGATGTAAGGGTATTCTACTAAACAGCTCAACCCAAGCAGGATACGTTTAATAATCTTGTCAAAAACCCTCAACACTAACCCGACATGTTTATTAAACGGGTTACACGTGTAACCCGTTTAATGATTTGTTTAAGAAAATCAAATATTTTATTATTTTAATTATTAATAATACTCGATCAAACATTATATACTAGACAAATATAAGTTTCAATCCAACCAAATTACTAAATAATTTCTAATCTACAAAAGAATAAATTATAAGATACAAGTTTAGATAGTTATTTTGGAACTTAAATAGAAATTTGCTTATGACACATATAGTTAAACGGGTTGAACCCCTCAACCCAAATACGACACGATTAACTAAACAGGTTAATCGTGTCGACCCCTTTACGACTCGAACCTGTTTAAGGTCAACTCAAACCCATTTAACTCGTGTCGTGTTGGCTGGTGGTGTCAAACTTTGTCACCCCTAACTTCTGGTTATTGCACTTATATTTAGGGAAATCTTGTTACATGGCGAAGTAAAAAGCAATCTGTAGTTGCAAGAAGCAGTGCTGAGGCCGAATTCAGGGCTATAGCTCATGGTATATGCGAAGGAATGTGGTTGGAAAGATTACTTGAAGAATTAAAAGTTGTAACTTAGAAGACAATGAAGATGTTTTGTGACAATTTGGTAGCAATAAGTATTGCTAAGAGCAGGTCCAATGGACCAAAATTCGGCGAAGAAAGGCCTGGTGTGAAGATTGGACCGCTCCAATGGGATAGCCAAAAATTGGGCCCCACCCATTGGATAGCAGAATGGGTTGCGGTATTCCGTGACCCTGTTGGCGATTTGCGGGCCTGCCATGCGGGCCCGCCATGCGGGCCCGCATTCATTTTCTTTAAATTTTTTATTCTAGCCCAAATCTGATAGTTAGCCCATAACACTGTTCTAAGGGCGTGTTAGGCTGAAAAAATGAGGAAAAAATCAGTTTTTCGGCTGATTTTGATCTGTTTTTTTTTTTTTTTTTTTTCCCTAAAATAATTGAACCAAAGAGTCGTTAAGGCACTGTTTGGTTGACACAAACAGTGCCTTAAAGGCTTTTTTGGGCAAAAAAAGTTAAAAAAAAATAGAGAAAAGTTTTTTTTTTTTTCCATTAGTTTTTAAAATATTCTTATTGACATATAACCGTTTTAGGCACTGTTTGGCTGACCCAAACAGTGCCTTAACGGCTATATTGGCACAAAAACCTATTTTTAAATTTTATTTTAAATTTTAATAATATTAAAATATTAATATTTTTGGAGAGCAAAAATGCACCATTGGAGTACATCCGATAGCTAAAATTTGGAGATTCTAAAACGCTGACGTGGCTATGGGAAATGCTGACGTGGCTATGGGAAAATGCTGATGTGGCAAATTCGGAGAGTCTAAATTCAAAGAGTCTATTGGAGATGCCCTAAGAACCCAATTAACCACGACAAAACCAAGCACGTGGAGATTGATCGCCACTTCATTAAAGAGACGATCAAGGAAGGAATAATAAAGAAGGGGTACACTCCTACATGCTGTCAAATTGCAGACATCCTTACTAAAACACTTCTAAGAACTAATTTTGATGATTTAATCACCAAGCTGGGAATGATTGACACCTATTCACCAGCTTGAGGGGGAGTGTTGAATTCCGGTTTTAGATCCCTATTTTCTAGGGAAGAGATTTTTATTTTAGTTAAGTTGAATTTGTGAATAAAGAAAGTAGGAGATTTGGTTACTTGATTTTTTTAATTTTCAAATCTGTCAGTTATTAGATTTGACCTTCTTTCCTATAATTAGCTGCTAGAATTAAGGAGATTTAATTATATGTTAGTTGTATTTTTGTCCTATAAATTCTTTGTACCCTTCGGTTTCCAGTATTAATGAAATAAGGGATTACTTTACCCTTTTTTTCTTTATCTTCTATATTGTATTTCTTCTTGGTATCAGAGCCAAGGTGGTCCGACTACAATGAGGGCATTGCAAGTTTAACACCACCCATTCAAGAATGGTCTAAGGGGACATTGCCCATTCGGGAGGTGTCGAGTAGGCAGGGTGGTCCGACCTCAATGAGGGCATTGCGAGTTTGGCACCATCCATTCAGAAATGGTTTGAGGAGACATGGTCGCTTCTTTTTATTTTTTATTTTTTATATGGTCTGAAGAGACATTGTTGATTCTTCTATGTACATATTTTAAACACGTATATGAAGGGAAATGGTCCGAGGAGACATTGTTGGTTGTTTACGGTCTGAGGAGACATGGTTGGTTGTTTATGGTCTGAGAAGACATTGTTGATTTTGCACTCCTCAGCTTGCATTCTTACAAAGGGCGTTAACAAGATTATGTTTGAGAACGCATTGTCCAAGTTGGGTCCCTCAAATATTCACACACCAACTTAAGGGGAAGTGTTAGCAGATATGATAGCCACGATATATGGAATGACTTACTATATTAGCAAAGATTTGATAGCCACGAATAATGGCATAGAATATGCTGTGATTTGATTTAGATTTGATTTAATTTCTTTAATATGAGCATGTGCTCTTTTTATCTATAAATACTAGAGCCGTGAATGAGTGATTTATATCATTCAAGCCTTTAGACAATTCTCTCCTTTTTCTTCTTTATATATTTCTTTTATATTGTATTTCTTCTTTAACAATATGCTCCCCCCTTTCTTGCGTCTCGACGATTCTTGTAGGGCGTGAGAAAGAAGTTCCCCATCTCATCATGAATTTCTACTCACAGTTTGTTCTTTCGTGACCTTGTAGTGTTGTAGGAGCGGTTATAGGCCAATCATTAGTATATTATCCAGAGTGATGCAAAATTGGCCTTTGCCCTCCGAGGGATTTGTTTTCTCTAGTTATGGTCTGCCTGCCAGGCAGATCTCACTGGCACGTCAGTTTAATAGGTAGATTATTGCCGTGTAACTTTGTCTCTCATGTTGACGAGACCGACCGAAAGCTGTCAGACCTTTTGATTTCTTAGTAACATACTTGTCAATGGCAGAACTCAATTTTGTCTTCCTACTGTGTTGGACTCAGTCGTCTGAGGAAGAATCGTAGCTTGAGGTACGCCATAGAGCAGCCATAGCACAGTTGAACTCTACCTTTGACACTGCGACCAAACTGGATATCTTTGCAAATTTCTTCTTCATTGAAGTATCAAGGTTTGTTCTTGGTTCCGTTCAATCATTAGCACCAACTCCCGTGATTGATGTCTTTTGGTTTGTTGTTCTCCACTTTGGATCTTGTAATCAATGCTGTTTTGAAAGCTCATTCAATGAAAATTTGATTGCACAAAGGTGCTGCATATTTTCTTTGATCAGTTGTACCTGTCTTAACATTTCATACGGGATTACATAAGTGAATACAAGTGATTAATTTATTATTTGGAGTGCAAGCATTTTTATTTAGTGGAATTAAAAGTAATTAATGGGCTAATTAATTTAGTCATGATTTTGGATTGGTACTTTAATAAGCCCATTAGAAGCCAAATAATAAATAGGCCCATTAGATTCCACTCCTAGCCCAACTTGGTAAGCAAGTATTTTAGAAGAATGAGGAAGGAAGGTGGTAGAGAGAGATAAGGAAGGTGGAAGGTTGGTCCTAGTTTCCTTCTAGGATTGGGAAGCCTTGCCTATAAATATGTTTGCTTCCCTAGTACAGGAACATAAGATTGCAAGACAAGTTCTCATACTTTCTGTCTCTAACCTATGTCTCATTCTCTCTAATTTTGAGCCCACTCTTCCACATACTTGTGGGTACCACAGAAGTTATAGGAGTGAAAATCTGGTGGTCACTTGTGCTTTAAAACTCTATTGAAAAAGGCTTGAAAGGTGATTACCACAGGGTTCCCATAGGGCTTTTTCAGCACGACATATAGTCAATAAAACGGCCATATCTCCTTCGTCTGAAATCAGAATCCGACGTGGTCAGAGGCGTTGGAAAGCTAACTTCCGTGGCAACATTCTGTGCAAAACCTAGAATTTTTAGAGTTTCAGAACAGTACCAGAATTCATTTGAAGTTGCTGCTTCAATTTGAAGTTTTTCGGTTCAAGGCACCTAAAGATTTATTTTGTTGCGGCTCTTTGAATCTCGAACAATGTATGAATTTTTAATACCTAGTTATATCATCATTAATGTACTACAACTAATGGGAAATGATTTTTAAATCTTCCACATAGACCTGTTTTTCCAACAGTAGATCCATCTGGCCAAAGTCATTTAGGTTTGAATTTGGGTGACTTCTGCGTAAGTCTTCCTGTTAGCTGACAATACATGGCTGATTTCATCCACCTTTGATCTCCCATAGTCTGTTGAGCTCAAGTGACCGAGATTGAATCTGTTCAGCTCGACCTCTTTAGCTCTACCTGTCCCCTTAAGGCCTAGCTCTTGGATGAGGTTGACCAACATGCCCTCTTTAACCCCAGATATCCGAGGTAGACTCGCCAAGTCTTTCCATTCTACATGCTGGCCCAAACAAGTTCTACCATCGACATTTGGAAAGGTAGATTATGGGGTACCTGCTGCTCATATGGACTTGAAATTTCTCCATTTTTTTAGCTTCTGAGTCATGGATTTGTCAATCATTTTGTTGACAAATAGGAGGCGGACCAT